AGAGAGATAGAGCAAAAGAATGCTTGCATTCAGAGCTTGCAAGCCCGTGCGGAGAAGGCCGAAAATGAGCTGAAGAAAGCTAGCACCTTTGAGACTCATTCGGTGAGTCAAGTGAATCCGATTGTCACGGAGCGAGTAGGCCGCCGAATTTTGCATCACGCGATTGCCGACTGAGAGAGGGCGAGTATGTTCATAATAGAAACTGAGAAGGCTAGGTCCTATGAAAAAGGCTTCTATGCCGGCTGAAAAATTGGAATAGAGAAGACGAAGGAAAAACTAGCCTAGGAAGTCTATCGATGCAAAAATCGTGGATTTAAGCATGGATGGATCAAGGCTCTCCAGGCCGCGGGTGTTGATCCGGCGTCACCTTTGTATCAGAGTTATACTTTTCCATTTAAGGCTTTCGATGCCGAGAAGACTGATGATGAGGACAGAGCCGAATAATTTAGATGTGCATTGTTCCGTTTTTATGTAAAGTATGTACTCATGATCTATTGAATAAAACACTTTATTCTAAATGTCTATATGTTATTTCAATTAATGCTTGTAGATTAAGTTATGTCTATTACTTTACGTTACGTCAATCACGTTTGTGCTTGTCAATCACAATTTCCACGAAAGGAGCTCTGAATTCGGAGGATTATTCGACCCAAACGTGTCATTCGCAGATGGGGCTCTGAATTCGGAGGCTTTTTCTGTTGGCCACGAAGGGCGCTCCGAATTTGGAGGATTATTCAGCCCAAACGCGTTATTCACAAAGGGCGGTCCGAATTCGGAGGCTTTTTGTGTTGGCAAATCATGATTTCCATGAAGGGCGCTCCAAATTCAAAGGCTTATTCGGCCCTAACATGTTATTCACGAAGGGCGCCATGAATTCAGAGGCTTTTTCAACCCAAACGTGTCAATCATGAAGGGTGCTCCAAATTCAGAGGCTTTTTGTGTTGGCCAGTCGTGATTTCCACGAATGGCGCTCCGAATTTAGAGGATTGTTCGGCCCTAACGTGTCATTTACAAAGGGCGCTCCGAATTCAGAGGCTTTTGATGTTGGCCAATCATGATTTCCACAAAGGGCGCTTCGATTTCGGAGGCTTATTCGGCCCAAACATGTTATTCACGAAGGGCGCTCCGAATTCAGATTCTTTTGTGTTAGCCAGTTGTGATTTCCAAGAAGGGGGCTCCGAATTCGGAGGCTTATTCGGCCCTAACGTGTCATTTATGAAGGGCGCTCCGAATTCGGAGGCTTTTAATGTTGGCCAATCATGATTTCCACAAAGGGCGCTCTAAATTCGGAGGCTTATTAGGCCCAAACATGTTATTTACGAAGGGCACTCTGAATTCGGAGGCTTTTTGTGTTGGCCAATCGTGATTTCCACGAAGGGCACTCCAAGTTTAGAGGCTTATTCAGCCCAAACGTGTCATTCACGAAGAATTCGGAGGCTTTTTCAGCCCAAACGTCGTTCACGAAGGGCGCTTCGAATTCGGAGGCTTTTTCAGCCCAAACGTGATTTCCACGAACGGCGCTTCCGAATTCGGAGGCTTTTTGACACAACCATAACTCACTGGGCAAGAGCGAAAACATTATATTGAAAAAAAGAAAGATGTACACGGCGTAAAATTAAAGCAAGTTGTTGTGCCACACAAGTTAACTTAATAATTAAATTTGCACAAGTGTGTGGAATTTCAAAGATGTGGTAAGCTTCTTCCATCCACGTCTTTGAGTCGATATGCCCCTGTCCTTGCGATTGAGTCAATCTGATAGGGGTCGTCCCAGTTAGGACCTAATTTTCCATCAGCGGGATTCCTAGCAGCGAGAAACACTTTCTTAAGGACCAATTCTCCTGGTGTATAACAGCGTAGCTGAATACGTTGATTATACGATTTAGCGAGCTGTTGCTGGTATCGTGCCATGAAAGCAAGGGCATGGTCTCGACGTTCTTCAATCAGAGTCAAGTCAAAGGCCAACATCATGTCATTTCGGCCCATGTCAAAAACCTTCGATTTCAAGGTTGGGAGGCCGATCTCTAGGAGGATGATTGTCTGGGTTCCGAAGCACAGAGCAAACGGCGTTTCTCTAGTGGATCGCCTTGGTGTAGTGCGATGAGCCCACATCATGCTGGGTAACTCTTCGACCCATCAGCCTTTAGCTTTCTCCAACCTTTTCTTGATGCCGTTGAAAATAACCTTGTTGGTGGCCCCCGCTTGACCATTGCTTTGGGGGTAAGCCGACAAGGAAAAGTAGGGTCGGATACCATGAATGTTGCATAATTCTCTATACACACCATAATCAAACTGGGTACCATTGTCTGAAACAAGTGCTCATGGTATGCCGAATCTCGTTATGATGTTTTTCCAAACAAAATGCTTAACGTCAAAATCTTGAATATGTTTTGGTGCCTCCGCTTCGACCCATTTCGTGAAATAATCCATCGCAACAATTAAGAATCACCTGTTGCTTGGGGCCCGTGGTAATGGTCCAACGATATCAAGCCCCCATTGAGCGAACAACCAAGGACTAGTGATAGAGTTTAACTCCTCGGCAGGCAGATAAGTTAAGGGGAAAACTTCTGTCATTGCTCACATTTCTAGACATAAAACTTGGCATCGATTTGTATGGTCAGCCAATAGTACCCTTGCGCTACAGTTCGATGGGCCAGAGAACGCCTGCCCGAATGGACACCACAACTGCCTTTATGTATTTCAGACAAAAGTTCCTCGACTTTAACCGGGTGAACACATTCTAAGTACGGCCTAGAGAGAGATTTTTTGTAGAGCTTCTCCTGCGGATGCAAATAGTATCGGAGGGCCTTGTTTCGCAGTTTGTGTGCCTCTTTCTTATCCATCGGGAGCTGCTCTAAAGATAGGAATGCGGCCATAGGGCCCATCCAACTTGGACCCAGTTCGATAACGTTGATCTGAACTGATTCTGAAGAGGCAATGCTCGGCTCAGGAAGAACCCTACTTCAATTATCTACTTAATTTCTGAGTTGAAGGCAGAGGCTATGCAAACCAGGGCGTCTGCATACATGTTCTGATCCTGGGTTATTTGATTCAGTTCGTGGTGATCATATTTTGCGAGCAAAGAATTGGCCGTTTTCATATAGGCGGGCATGTGGTCATTTTTGGCTGTATATTCCCTTTTCAACTAGTTGATTACTAGCTTTGAGTCACAAAAAACAAGCAGACGCCGCGCACTGAGGTGAAGTGCATTCCGTAGGCCAGTTAATAGTGTTTCGTATTCAGCCTCATTGTTCAATGTATCAAAGCCCAGTTTGACGGCCTGTTCGATTATTGCCTCTTCGTAGGTCATGATTACTATGCCAGCCCCACTATCACGCTGCTTGGATGACCCGTCGCAATACATCTGCCAAACGTGTCCAACATACATTCTCCAATTGGGCATAGTTTGTACTTGATCAGACTTAAAGTAGGTGAGGGATTCTGTGAATTCGGCTACAAAGTCGGCAAGCGCTTGCCCTTTGATGGAAGTTCTGGGTAGAAACTGGATACTGGCCGAGTTCGAGAGCCCATTTCAAAACGCGCCCTGACGCTTCCGCACTGCAGAGCGCTGACCAGAGCGGATATTCTATTGGTACCCTAATGGTATGCCCTTGAAAGTAATTCATCAGTTTTCTTGCAGCCATAACGAGAGCAAGGATAAGCTTTTCTAATGAAAGGTAATGTGTTTCGGCATCGGCCATTGCTTTGCTCACATAGTAAACTGGTCGTTGCTCCCCAAGTTCTTCCCTTAACAATATGGCGCTAACTGCCCGACTGAATACTGCCAGATCGCCTGCCGCAGGTGTTGCCAAGAGTGGTACTGATCAGAGATAAGACTTCAAGCCATCCAAAGCAGCCTGGCACTCAGGGCTCCAATCAAATACTCTACCTTGCCGAAGTGTGTGAAAGAATTGTTGGCAGCGATCTGTGGAATGGCTGATAAACCTGTTGAGCGCAATGGCCATTCCCATCAGCTTCTGAACCTCTTTGACTGATCGAAGGGATCCAAGCTCTAGAATTACCATGATTTGCCTTGGATTGGCCTCGATTCCATGGTTGTTAACAATGTAGCCAAGGAATTTGCCAGATCCGATGCCGAAGGCACACTTAGAAGCGTTTAATTTCATCTTGTACTTTCGAATGATGCCGAATGTCTCTGACAAATTGGCTAGATAGGAGTGCTTTTCCTTAGATTTGACCACCATATCGTCGATGAATACTTCTATGGTACGGCCGAGTTGTTCCCTGAACATGGCAGTCACTAGTCTTTGATAAGTTGCCCCCGCATTGTTCAACATAAAAGGCATGACCTTGTAGCAATAGGTTCCTCTTAGGGTGAGGAATGCGGTTTTTTCTTGATCCTCCGGATGCATGGCAATTTGATGATAGCCTTTGTAGGCATCCAAGAAGCTCATGCGTTGATGATGTGCTGTTGCATCTACGAGTTGGTCTATTCTAGGCAAGGGAAAACAGTCCTTGAGACAAGCTTTGTTTAAGTCCGTGAAACACACACGGACAAGCTAGGAGCCATTCTTCTTCTTTATGACCACAATATTGGACAACCATGTAGGATAGGTTACTTCGCAAACCAACCCGGCATCAAGTAACCGATCTACTTCTTCAACAACGGCCGAAGTATGCTCCGCGGCTGACCGTCGACTTCTCTGAATAATTAGCTTACATTTCGAATCAATGTTTAAGCGGTGTTGGGCCACTGATGGATCCACTCCTGGCATCTCGTATGGGGACCACACAAATACATCAATATTGCCGAGTAAGAAGGATACCAACTCCTGCCTTTCAACTTTATCCAAGGAAACCTCGATCATGAAGAACTTGTCTGGACTTCCGTAAATTTTGACCCGATGCAAGGCTTTGGTTGCCTTTTCACTTGGGATCCTCCCAATGTCTTCGAGGCTCTCTCTATCTGGTACCTCAATTGAATGCACTTCCAGTTCCCTTGGTCTCTTTACAGCTAGAAGATGGCATGCCTGCACTGATTTCTAAGAGCCGCGAGTTTGTTCGATACCGTATTCAGTCAGAAAACGAAGTAGTTGGTGGAATGTGCTCGACACAGCTTGCATCGTATGTAACCAAGTTCTACCCATGATGAGATTATCTGGTGAAGGAAGCTTGACAACCTGAAATTCTACATCTACTGATATGGTGCCAGCCCGTACAGGTAGTGTGATTTTGCCCAGAGGATACTCCGGGTTAGCATTGAAGCCGAATAACGGGTAATCAGCCGGAGACAGGTCTGAGTTAGTAAAGCCAAGTTTGACAAATGTTTTGTAATACATTATTTCTGAAGTGCTGCCCTGGCCAATGAGAACACGCTCAATCGTGAATCTGTTTATGCTTAGCTCGATGATGAGGGGATTAGTATGGAGAAGAGTTACTCTAATTAAATCACTATCATCGAAACTAATCCTTCCAGTGTCATGGGGCCGTTTCGCTGGCGTCATTGGTCTATGGGGGCTATATTGCAACTGGATTGTATGCACCTTGGATGATGCCGGCAAGCTCTATATCATATGAATTACACCCAGAGGAGGTGACTCTGGCCGTAGGGCTAGTATATTTGTTGAATTGTTCTTTCGGACGTGTTGCGTAAGACGACCATCTTACACCATTTCTTCCAGGTGATCTTTTAATGCATAACAACTATTGGTGTCATGTCCGTGGTCTTTATGATACTCACACCGTTTATCCTGTCTTCTCACATCAGGAGGTCCCGTCATCTTGGGCGGCCACTTGAAGAACGAAAGGTGTTGTATTTTTTACAAAATCTTATTGATCGTCTCTGTTAGGTCCTTGTATTTCTTGCCTAAGCATCTTGTGCGCCTGCTATCCACTTGATACTGTTCATTAGCTCGATGTGAACATAGGTCGTTTGATCGGCGCGAGTCACGCCTTTTGTCTCGTTTAGGTTGATTCTGCTGTTCGAGGCTTCTTGATGGCACGGTGCTAATCGGCTGAACAATTCTCGACGTGGCCGTCTGAACGGCTTTACGTCCGGCTTTGACCCACAGGGCATCGTCTTCCCCTCTGCAGTACTCTTCGACCATCTTCATTAACGCCTAGACAGTTTTAGGGGGCCTCCTAGTTAATGAACTGCAGAGGGGGCTATCAGGATGCAATCCCATCTTAAAGGTGGTGACGGCCATGGAGTCATTGCAAGCATCATCTACCAGATTAAAGCACTCCCAATAGCGGGCCGAGTATTTGCGAAGAGTTTCTTCTGGTTTAATTTGCATGGCCTAGAGAGAATTGGCTTGCTTCAGCTGGACCTCATTAGTGATGAATCTTGCCCTAAATGACTTTTGGAGTTGGTGGAAGTTCTGAATCGATGTCGGCTCCAGTTTATAGTACCACCTCACGACTAGTGGTCCTAGACAGTTTGAAAATATTCGACACATGAGGGCTTCATCGTCAGCATGGAGTGCCATCGCTTGCTTGTAATGACAAATGTGATCAGTGGGGTTTGATTTTCTGTCGTAAAGCGTGAACGCCAATGCCTTGAACTTTTTGGGTAGCACAACCCTTGCAATTCGTCACACAAATGGGTCATGTTTATCTTCCTCATCCGAATCATCACTTCTTCCACATTTATGCCATACATATGGACTTCATTCAGATGAGCTGGATACATCAACGCATCATTTCTTTCTGGGCTCCAGAGATGGTGAGTCTGAATCACTGTCATTATTGCATTTCTGAAGTCGACGTCGTCGACCATCCTTCTTTCCCGAAGGTCGGACTCGGTCTTGGCGTGCAGCTTGTTAGGATTTCGCCACCTCCAAGGCCAAATCCTAGCGCAGGCGCTCATTCTCAGCCATCATGTTCTCCAGCTGCTGTTTATTTTGCTTTGCTTGATCCATAATCGTCTGCACTGTTTCTCGCATTGAGGTTGAGGGTGAGTTCTAAGCTACTGAATCAAAGTTCAATGCACATCGCATGGCGATATTCTCCGGTCCCAGCATGTTTCTTGGAGTGAGGTCGTCTCTTGGTGTAGTTTCGTCAGCGACTATCGAAGGATCTTCTGTGACCCTCACCATGAATATGCTTGAGTATTACCACAGACAGCGCCAATTGTGGAGAAGTAGGTTTGGAAATACTCTAGGATCCTAAAAGACATTCCTGATCCTCTTATTGCCACCTGAAAAAGGGGATTAACCAAGGTTTTAAAAAGCGGCCGCAACGTAACAGTTGTGGTGATTACCGTCACCCGTTACAGCTGTTTTTACAGTGTGAATGAGATTCACAGGTGTGTCAGCTATAGCGACTGCCGTAGTAGTCGTAATGGCGCCGTAACAGCCGTAACGGCTTGTTACACACCATTACGTAACCGTTCTGAACTGCTTCTTTCAAAAAAATACACAAAAAAAAGCTGAAAATGGGGGAAGAGGGATAGAGAGAAGAGGGAAGATAAAGAGAGAAGGAGGAGCAAGAGATAGCGAGAGAGAAGAAGGAAGAAGAAAAACATGTTATTGATTTGTTGAAGCTGTAAGACCTAATGCTATTCTATTCAACTGCTATCACTCAATCATTTTGTTTGTGTGTGTCTATCTATCTATTGTTTGAAAATAATAATAATAATAGTAAGTATGGTCATTTTCTATTTGGCTTGGTTAAAATATGTATATATATATTTAGACTCTTATTAATTCTCTTACTTTTGTCATTGTTTAGCTTATATATAATAGTTAGTGATTGATTTTTTGTATAACATAAAGTCATTAATTTTTAAAATAAAATGTAAAAACTCAATTTATAGTGATTTAAAAATATGAAATATATTGTATCATACTTAAAAATGTACAAAAATTGATCAATATTTATTTTAAACTCAATAAATATGATCATGGAAAAAAAATATGCGTATTGGTAGGTTTTTTTCAAATTGCGCGAAAAATAAAAAAATTCACGATTCCGGTTATCACAACCGTTATGCTACGGCCTTTACACCCCGCAACCGCAACCGCACCACCGCCACCGTTACGGCGACCGCAACCGCTTTTCAGAACCTTGGGATTAACACTCCAGTCGGAAGTGTCGGAATTAGCACTCCGACGGACAAGTTAGTATATGTGTCTTGTTTGCTTGCGTCTTATGTTTCTTCGGTCTGTTTTCACATACCTTTCTTCGGTTGATGTTTCTCTATTTATATTCGCTTTTGGGCCCTAGGGTTGGGCCTACTCTTAATCCATCGCATGATTGCTCATTCGGCCCCTTCTGTCGTATGTCAATTCCCACTTGGCTTTTTGTTCAACTAGTGCTATGGCCGATTAATCTATTATGCTTCGGGATCGTCCAGGACGGAGCCGAATATAATATATATCCTGATTTTCTTCAGAGGTATTTGGCTTTCCTGCATGTACTCATATTCGGCTCCCACAATTATCATATCTTTGATGACCATATATATCAATACTGAACCACGAACATCCATCACCAACCTGTGAACAAAAGGATAAAAACATGAGTATGTTATCAATCCATTTAACTTCAAAAATAATATAACAATATAGTTAAAATTAATTGAATTAATTAAATTTATTTCATTTTCAATTGTAAAAACATGAGTATTTTATCTTTTTTTTGAATTAGTTAAAAACCAAAAACAGAGCCAGGACCAAGGACAGAACCATTACAGCAATAACATTGTAGCAGACAAGCATCTAGTAGCCGCCGCCTCACAGTAACATTGTAGCAGCAGCAACCCAGCAAGCATCAGCCACCAGGGCAGCAGCAGCAGCAAACCAGCAGCTACAACTGACTAGCAAGTAACAGCCATCAGCCACCAGCAACATTAGACCAACAGGGCAGCAACAATGCTCCAGTAGTAATCCAACATCAACTAGCAGACCAATTTTCGAACAACACCAGCACCTACTGTTTCTGATTATGCAAGCTCAACTTGGTTGTTTTGGGGTGCTCTAGCTGCTACTAGTTTATGTTGTTGTATTATCATTTTGGTGCTCCTACTTAACTAGGGTTGTTAAGGTTTGTTCATCTCTCCCCTCCAACTTGGATGGTGGTTTTGAGCAGGTCTATACGGTTTACAGCCTAGGCAGTCCCTTGCTAATTCAAAATTTTGGTGATTTTGTTCACAGAGTTTTGTATCCTATTTTTAAACCTAAAGTGTTATGTTTTAGATGTTATAGAAATGTATTGCATGTTGTAAGTTTATATAATTTTAGATTGTTGACACATATTTGGATTGGTTAAATAAAATAAATCATTTCAATGAGGTGTCAAATGTACCTTTATTTCAACCGAGAGAAGTTTCATCCTCCCTTACACTCAATGCATCCCCCCCGACACTGTTGCTTGGAACTAACCCCGGAATGCTTGCTAGATCTATCCTATTTTTTGCAACCAACATTTGAAGAGCAGCTTGCACTGTACTCATGTTTTTAGCCTGGTCAAGTAACTGCTTTCCCTAGTCAGCTACTTGTTGTCGTTGGTTAACGAACTGCTGTTGAAGAACAATCACCTTAGAGTTAGTAGCCTTAAAATGTGCAGAAGATGAAGTAGTGTCCTTGCGGTTCCCATATCCCTTCAAGTAGACCAACCTCTTCCCAAGTACTTCCCTGGAAATCTGCTTCTCAGATAATGGATGTGTGACACTAGGTTGAGACTGCTCAGCGATCTTTGAAACCATAATGGCCTATGAATGAAATATAAGTAAGCTTAAAACATAATATCAAAATGTAGACATATATTATTGAAATTGAAATAGTTATGGTTACATGATGTTCCTCAGCCGTATTATTTATCCACACTCCCCCATGTTGGTGACATTTGTGGGTGTCCTCAAATAGTTTCATAATAGTCGGTTTGCTTCCTTGTACCTTTCATTTCATTAGATTTTCTAGTCAAACAATAATTTTGTATTTGTAATTTAGTATGTTCAAATTTGTAAATCTACACTTGCAAGAATAGATGCTTGCGATGCAAAGAATCTCGAGCCTCTCGTATGATTATACTTCACACAACCTCTTGCTTTTATCACATTCTCTAACTTTTTCAACAATTAAAAAAAAAATAGGTAACATTAATTAATGTACCAGGAGGATATTACTTTAGTAAATATTTTTATAAATACCTTTCAATCATCAATTTCCCACAGATTGTCAATCGTCCATTCCTAATCATCTTGTGTACAAGGATATAATGTTCGACTTTTGAGGTCAGATACTTTTTCTTCTTTAAGAGATTTGTAGTGCGTGTGTAATCTACTTTTCCATTCAGTGTATAAAATTTGGCACTTCTGATCAACAATACATCTCACATCCACATCATTATTGTAGTCCCCAAAGTTAAAAATTTGCTACAATTGGAAACAATAAAATGCAATATATTTTGTATATCATTGCAATTAAGCCACAATAGGTGGGCTTATTAACCTAATTTCTCAAAGTTACAAAATTACCCATCTAAGTAATAGGAAATATAATGCCATCTCATAACTAATTCTTTGATATTAATAAATGACTCATATAAGTTAATTTAATTACTAATTTTTCCAATAAAATAATAATATTTAAAACTTGGGTTTTACAATTATTGTAGTCCCCAAAGTTAAAAGTTTGCTACAATTGGAAGTAATAAAATGCAATATATTTTGTATATCATTGCAATTAAAATAAATAACATGTTGAATATATAATACATATATTTCAAATTACCCAAACTCTTGTAACAATGGACTCTCTTAACCCAAAGTCAATGGCTATCCATCCATCATTTCAGACTGGGGTATGAACTCGAATTTGTTAACCAAGAGCAGCTACTAGTGGTGTGGTGTAATCCCCTTCTATTTCTTTGGTAAAACGGTTAAGTGTAACGGGTATTCGATTATCACGTTCCTTTTTAATCTTCTCGACATTCTTTCCTTAGGTCGGTCCTCGTACATGCTTCTTGCCCAAAACTGGAATTGATACTATTATGACCAAAATTTTATTCAAGTTACTCGACATAAAACATGAATGCACTGAATAAATATTGAGATAAGAAATTACCATTTCATTTAAGTGGTTATTTGTTTCTCACCTCCACTGTTAGTGACAGTACATGGCCTCGAAAGGTAAGGAGCTAATCGGGCCTAGTATATAAGGCGCGAAGATGGATAGGTTGGGTCGACGCCTCAGGTGTGTTCTCTGAATGATTAACTTGTGCTGCTAAACGTCGTCTCGGAAAAGTAAGTGTATCTTCATCAGGAGTACTTCTCTCTTGCCTAGGTGTTTGTGAAGCTATTAGGTGAGCTGCAGACCTATTTGTTTTCTTACCAGGACCCATATGAATATCCTGACCTAATATAAAAATGAATTGTTAGTAAATTTTCAATAATTTAAGGTTGCTTATTAAAAACAAAAAATTGAAATAACTAGACATAACACAAGTAATATAACAAGTGAAAAATTAATGAAATTACTTTTTATACACACATCTATTACCTCAATCACTTGAGAATCAAAAGGCTCGCCATCATCACTTGAACAACTCAGTCCTTCATCAGCATCAAGTGGTTGATAGTCCTCGTCATTATCACTTTCTCCCACCTTTCTCTTTCCCACCCTAGAACTTTTACTATTGTCCTTTTGAATAAAACCAAACATTGAATTATTGAGGGACTTTATCACTAGAGCATCAAATCTTATTTTATTTTCTTGAATTGTTTTTTTTCTATCCTTCTCATATTTCATCATCTTCTGGACCCAGCCGTCAGGCTTCAGAAATAATTTACCATTTCTGGACATCTTTGCAACTATAGATATGGCACATAATTAAATGAAATGAAATGTGAAACAATGCTACGAAATTTGAAAAACAATGCCATGAAATGTAAAAATAAAATTAAATTAAATTAAAAGCAAACACTACATATCATAATCTATATCAAGATCTATATTAGGATCTACATCAACATCAGGTTGTCTATGCAGTTCATCATCTTCGTCATCATTATACTCTATCATTGTGTCATTCTCATCATCGTTGTGAACTAAATTCTCTCCCATTAGTTGATCATTGAAAATGATCTCAGGATCCATATAATCCCTGTTGTATTGAACATCATTATCTTAGATCACTACCCCAACACCATCAGTGGTTTCATCCTGTTGAAAAGCTTCATTAGAGACATCATCCCACCTTGGTATATCTCATATTCCCCGATGCTTAACTCATTCAACGATTCTCTAATTTTTGCCTTTGTTGGTATCATTGACGTAGAATACTTGTCTCACCTACCTAGGTAGAACAAATTGGTCATCTTTATACTAAGAGCATTCCTACCAACTTACGTAGATTTTACCCTAAATAATTAAATGAAATGAAATGTGAAACAATGCTACGAAATTTGAAAAACAATGCCATGAAATGTAAAAAAAAAATTAAATTAAATTAAAAGAAAACACTACATATCATAATCTATATCAAGATCTATATTAGGATCTACATCAACATCAGGTTGTCTATGCAGTTCATCATCTTCGTCATCATTATACTCTATCATTGTGTCATCCTCATCATCATTGTGAACTAAATTCTCTCCCATTAGTTGATCATTGAAAATGATCTCAGGATCCATATCATCCATGTTGTATTGAACATCATTATCTTAGATCACTACCCCAACACCATCAGTGGTTTCATCGTATTGAAAAGCATCATTAGAGACATCATCTCACCTTGGTATATCTCATATTCCCCGATGCTTAACTCGTTCAACGACTCTCTAATTTTTTTCCTTTGTTGGTATCATTGACCTAGAATACTTGTCTCACCTACCTAGGTAGAACAAATTGGTCATCTTTATACTAAGGCATCCCTATCAACTTACGTAGATTTTACCCTAAAATATTATTAAAAAATTCATTCTCTATTTTAGGAATCACTTTTTCACCTACCTTTCCCAACAAACTTCCTATTCTTTCTCTATTCTATTAAAATAATCTTTTTAATTATTTTTAAATTTGAATATTTTTTAATAATAAAATAATTAAACAATATAAAATAAAGTCAAAAATGGAGGCTCAAAGCAACTCCTGCTGTATATAATGTACATAAACAATATGAAAGAAGAGTGGTATTGACTTTGAACTTTCTATATGTGGAAAGAAGAGTGGTATTGACTTTGAATTGTATTGTTCATGTATTGAAACAAGCCATGACTTTGTATTGTTTATGTACAGCTCAAATAATTACAGAAGAAAGCACCAGAAGCAGAAACCAGGGACCGGACATCTGGGAGGTTGACTAGCCAAACGTCCGGGTGAATGACCGGCGAAGCAAGTTTTGCCCATATCATTTTATCTAGGACATCTGGGTGGATGACCACTGTCAGATATAAGGGAGCTACAGTGACATCCCACAAATAGGGAGTGACTATAGCAATCCTAAATTTATGGGGTTGTATAAGGGATCGGGTGGGGAAGGATTTTTGAAGAATCAATCCTTTATAATAGCAAAAAACTATTATAAGGGATTTGATAGGGATACTCTAAAGTCTTGTAACATCAATACTTGTGACATGTTTATCGGAGTATATTCTATTCTTGTGACTAGTGTCATACCATTCACAATGGAACAAAATCACTATACCCTCGTGCAAGTATTTCAATTCCAATATTTTGCACAAGTAGCCATAAAAATTAATTTGGTTCCCATTATGGTCCCCTTCTACAACCAACCCACTATTTTGGCACGTACGATGATTTTCACGATTTCTTGTATGGAATCTGAAAATTCTAAGTGCTTCGTGATTAGATCAAGATTATAATATTCCAAATCCCAATTATCCAAAACACACAATCTAAATCAACTAGCACTTACGAAAGTGATTTAGATTGTTTGTTTTTGGAATAAACAATAAATCAACACAAACGATTTTTTATGTGGAAAAAATCACAATTGAAAAACCTTCAATTGTAATAAAAAACCACGGGTGAAACGCCACTAATCAATCCACTACTGAAGAAAGAAAGATTACAAAGATAATACACAAATTACCCAACTCAGTCAATTTGTCTTCGAATCTTCTGCAACTCTTTCACCACGCCTTCATCTTGGAACTGATCAATCCTGAAGTTGAATCCACAACTTCACTTGTCGAATTAACGACTACGTACATAATCAAACGCTTTTTGAAACTCTACGCTTGAATCTTCGGAATCCACCGAAGAGATCTCTCTCTTGAATTTAAAGTAACCAACTCCTTGATGTATGTATCTTAGATCATGATTGAAGGACTCTTCTCAAAACATCAAGGAAAACTCACAAAAACCTCAGAACAAAACTACCAACAAAACCCTAGGACTCTTGAATAAGATCTAGAAAAAAATAGTCCTAAAAACAGCCTAAAAAGATATAAATAGGAATCCTGAATCCGCGATCTCCGCTCGAGCGGCCAACAGCCCGCTCGAGCGGCTTCAACAAAAACTGCTTACAATAAAACAGAGTTCCGCTTGAGCGCTCTATGACCCGCTCGAGCGCGAAATCATACCTTCCAGTATTTTTACAGACCTGGCAAAATACTGAGAGACTACAATATCCGCTTGAGCGCCAATGGTCCCGCTCGAGCGGGAAGAACAAAAAACACAGGAAAATTACAACTTGATCAACACAAAGTTTTGTACCCGGATTTGACAATCAAGGGACCTAACAATCCCCCCCCCCTTTGTCAATTCCTGGACAAAACCTTTCTAAACAAAAATCCTAAAACACACGCACTAGACAAGATTAATAAACAAGAGAAACGACTCTATTATCAAACAATCTTGCCATGTGATCAATCAATCCATCCATTCAACTTCATCCAACATTCACCTGTGAAATAGCAAGCAACATACCAGAAAAACAAAACTTGTGGAACTGTATAAGAATATATCAAGACATACATAAAAAGAGAACCATGATACAGTATCCACCAACTACAATAACCAACCTATCCGAATATTAACAAAATATCCATAGGAACAAAATCAACATATCCAAAATATCCACAGAAACAAAAGATATCAAAAAAAATATCAAAAAAAAAATATATACCACCAAGATCACCACTGTAACACCACTGTAAGATCATCACCACTGTAACACCGATCTCCCCCTTTTTGACCGGGAATCAAGGAATCATGCACCAGGAAGAGGTGGTGGCTACTGAAGCTGAAGTAATGAAATGATGTGGGCCAGCTGAGAAGTGGTGTGGACGGCAATCTGCTCCAACTGACCAAGGTGACCATCAAACGCATCAAAGCGGGCATCCAGAAGGTCCAATCGCCGGGTCATAGCCTCCTCAAAATGCTGAAAGTGATTATCAAAAGCTCGAGGTGGAACAGGGGGAATAACATCCTCCTCACCCCCGGCTGCTACAGCGTCAAACTCAGCCTCCTCAGCTAGGCCAGCAGTGGTACCTGCAGAAGTATCAGCCCGAGAAGACTCCCCCTTAACATGAGCCCAACTCTGAGAGACAGTTTTCTTTGTGAATGGTCGGGAGGGGAAGGCAAACTCATCATCCTCTAACACTCGAACCCCAAGGTCAGACAAAAGACAGTTGATCAAACACCCATAAGGAAGTCCTAACTGCTTATTCCTAGAAACACCTATCATTTTCCTAATAATCAGGGGAGCTAGATCAATAGACATGTGTCGGGCGATACAAAATAAAACAAAACCTTGGTCTTGATTAATTTCGGAGGAGTGAGTGGTCACAAGGATGTTTGCACAAACAATCAGATTAAGCAGTCTAAAATCCGGAAGAAGTTCAAACTGTTTAATCAATGCACCCGTAGGCCAAGGACGGGAAGTACCACATAACACCTCAGTCACATTATTGAAACCACAGGTAGGACAGCCTGGGACAAAAAAAGGATAGTGTTGAGGGTACACTTGATCAATCTTAAGAAGATGGCGAATGAGAGCAGGTGTGACAGAAATGGATTTGGACCGGACCCAAGTAGTGAATGAAGGCTCAAAGTCACTAATTTGCTCAATATTGCAGTAAAATTTTCAGACCCAGTCGAGATTTTGACGCCCAGAAAAAGACAACACCAAATCACCACCTAGAGGATCAAACAATGGACGGATAGGGATGGACTCGAAAGTGTTAGGCTGGACATTCCGTTCTAGGTGAACAGTGCGAGCCTCAAAAGATTTATGGAACAACTTGTCTTGCTTACCAGTCTGAAACCTCTCAGAATTAAAGGTAGGACGAGACACTGTCGCCTTTCGGCGTTTAGGGGCGGACATGATGAGATGAGAGATGACTAAAACCCGAAAACCCAACAAAGCCAAAAAGAAACCAAACCCAAAGAGCAAAACAGGCACAAGACAGAGACCATTAGTAACATTAAAGGCATAATGCATAATCATGGATGACAAATTTCAATGATATCATGTCATAAACATGGAAGACAAATAGCAATGAAATGCAGAATGCAAAAATGTGCATAATGGCAATGGCAGAAAATCAATGACCTAGTGAAGCTAAACACTGATATAAAAACCAAGAGAACTCCTATGGCAACACTTCTTCATCTTGTGGTCAAAACAGGGGCTCAAACGTGTAGCACAAACACAAATACCTCAAGCATGTGGAACTCACAACTCTAGGTCGAATGGACAACACTGACTGCATACACACAAACATGAAATGCAACATGAGAAAGACAGGACGATGCAGTGAAAGTGTGAGAGAGAAAGGGGACAAAAATGAAACACAAAAAAAACCAAAAAAACCTGAAATACAACCCCCAAATGTGCCAAAATAACAAACAAAACAGAGGAGAAGAGAGGGTAAAACCTACCAAAGGTGAAATCGGCAAGGAAGAGGAAGAAGGAAGGTGAAATCGACCACGCAAAGCCCACGAGCCAAACCCTAGGTCTGAGAAACTGAAGAGTGAAAAAAAATGACCTGAAGAGTCGAGGGAGGGAGTTTTATACAAAATAGGTCCGCTCGAGCGTAGGAATGAACGCTCGACCGTGAGTCAAGGCAAGCTGACACCCACTCGAGCTCGAATAAGGACGCTCGAGCGCAAAAATACCTCTCTCAGAACTGTAAAACAAAGAGCAAACTACTGCAAGGCGAAAAAACACGCTCGAGCGTGTAAATATCCGCTTGAGCGGGGAAATTTTTTTATTTTTTTTTAAATAAAACAAGAAACTCAATATCTAGAAGAGAGACCTGGGACAAAAGTAGATGATCACATTTAGCCAATATTGACGACGACGATGTAATAATCCGCAATTCATGAATTCCGTAAACTTGCAATTTTTTAAAAAAATGACACTGGAAATCATGAGCAAAGCAGATAAAATATAATCAATGATCATAAGCTACATGAGAATGTACAACTCAAAATCCAACATGAGAGCTCACAAAAAAAAGTGTGTGTGTGCAAACCATGAGAGGTCACTGAGCTAAAGTTAATCCTAGTAGTGATCGGATGGCTGGACCTCCATCAAGAGTAACTCAACAATACAGAGAAAAGTCAAACCACAAGGAATCACAGGGTATTTGTTGAGTAAATGCGGAGGCTCCCCCTCAATCAATGAGTCCCCTTTTTTTTTATTATTATTATTGAACTTTTTCTTTCTTGT